TTTTAAAATAACCTTCACTATAAAAATCAATCATGTTAAAAATTTTATTAAAACTACACAAAAACTGAGTTATTTATAAACAGGTTAAAATGGAAGCAAATGTTCAAGTGTCGTTATCTCGAATACTGGAGCCAATCTGACAAAACGGAGGAAGCCATTGAACTTAGAATGCCCCAATTAAGTGAGATCAACTATCAAAACCTTTGCCTAAGTTTTCAACTTGCACATTGTAATAAATAAAAATAATAATAATAATAAGCACATCTATATGTGATAAATGTTTATTTATTAGTTATTTTTTATTATAATAGTTTGCCTACCGATGAATTTTGCCTAATTTTTCTCAATAAAAACTTAAACCAATTTTATCGTTAGGCTTTTCAACGACAAAATATTCGTAGCTAGGCTATCGATATTGATGTTAATAATGGTGATAATGATAAATTATTGAAACTCAACAATTATCTATATAATTCAATACATATCTATATACAACTATATCTGAAGTCGGGCGGAACAACTATATACCTAATGCTATTAACTAGAACAATAGTTTTCACATAAACTGGGTGAAACAAAAAATAAACCACGATGATAAATGATTTGTATCATCGCATAGTGCATCGACAGGTTTTTACAGTTTTCCTCATTCCATGGTTTAACAACAATATACAGAAATTAATAGAAAAACACAATAGAGCGTACTCGGTTTGGAAGAAGGCGAAGTCAGAAAGTGCCCTCACTGACTATAAAACTTTTAGAAGGGACGTTATAAAAGCTATTAAATGTCAAAAACGGAAATATTATGAGCACCTATTCAGTACAGCTATTGGCTCACAGCAGACTTGGAAGCAGATTCGTAATATAGGAGTTAGTAAGAAGAGTACTATCACACCTGAATATATAAACGTTGATGAGTTAAACCGAGAGTTTGTTAATATGTCCTCTACTCAGAATAATGTAAGTTATTCTCGCTATATTACGAGTTCTACATTTTCCTTTTCTGGGTTTGGTTTTCAGTGTGCTGATGATTATGAGGTTGTCCAATCTATACTCTCAATAAAATCAAACGCCGTTGGCCTTGATGGCCTTCATCCGAAGTTTGTTAAGTGCCTGCTGCCAAAAATTCTACCATACCTTACTTACGCTTTCAACACAGTTTTAACCACGGCGGTCTTTCCGAAATGCTGGAAAGAGGCTAAAATTGTTCCTATTCCAAATGGTGATTTTAGACCCATTGCTATTTTGCCATTTCTTTCTAAGGTTCTTGAACGTATCGGCAGATAAACTCGTTCGTAAATTGCAACTGCTTGACTAGTCCGTACCAATCTGGATTCAGAACCAACAGAAGCTGTATCACTACACTATTAAACGTCTCGGACGATATAAGACAGAACATAGATAATGATCATGTTACCTTTCTTACTCTTTTAGACCACTCGAAGGCATTTGATTCTGTCGACCATACATTACTTTGTTTGAAACTTGAGAACCTGTTTAACTTTTCTAGCAAAGCGTTGCACATTTTAATTGTACTGTACATAGATTATTTGAAAAGTATGTGCCTCAACGCATGTGTGTTCCTGAAGAACAAACGCAGTTATGGTTCACTAAAGAACTGAGAAACTTGAAAAACAGAAAGTCACGTTATTTTAGATTACACAAAAAAACCGGCTTACACTCATACTATGTAAAATACTCACTTTTGCGTCACAAGTTCTTTGAATTAAACAAAAAGTGTTATAAAGATTACTTGTGTAAAATCAAACGACGTATAATATATAACCCCAAATCATTTTATGATTTCGTAAACTCCAAGCGAAATGCGGAACATTAAAGCTTACATCAGCCAGAAGAGACGGACTTGAAATTGAGCCTGCCAGTAATTTAACCATAAAAATTATACCAAGCATTTCCCTGCGACTGGCAAGTGTAGGAAGGTTAATAAGTTTTAAGCGACTCGTATAGGGTGGAAGACTATATTGAGAATCCCATCGGAAATTTCTTAAAGCAAAAAGTAGGAATTGTTTTTGAATTGATTATATCTTGTCTGAGTAAATTTGATACCTTGGATTCCAAACCACCGAGCCGTATTCCAGAATCGGCCTAACTAATGTTGTAAACAGGGTTTTAGTGATATACGGGTCACTAAATTCTTTTGACCATCGTTTCACAAATGCAAGTACACCTTTAGCCTTGTTGACTGTCACATTAATGTGAAGATTAAAATTAAGCTTAGGATCCATTGTGATACCAAGGTCCACAAAATTGTATACCTGTTCCAGGTTATGGTTACCTATTATATAAGAAACTGGCAGAACAGCTCTTCGCGAGAAGCACATTACTTTACATTTCTTAAGATTTAGAGGCATAAGATTTACTTTACACCAGTAAGCCATGCTGTTTAAGTCTGATTGTAGC